TAAGAGAAACAGCTACAGCAACAGGAATCTATGAATGTTAATTTTACATAATAGGAAACAGATTTTCACAAGTCTGCTGCTTTGTTTACACACACCCTTTTTCAGCCTTGAACAAAGCACGCAACACAACATCAGTATATATTTGTATAGAGTCCTTCTCCTAGCACTTAGATCAAACGATCTCTCACAAGCTGCTTCTGCAGTATTTTTAGCCATCTACGAGTAAAGACCAAAAAAAAAAAAAAAGACAGCTTCATGGAATTGCTACAGACAGCAGTCAACAAAAAAGAAATGTTGTAATTTCTTTGACTTTAGGAAGCAAAACAGTCTGAAGATTTCTCTTCAGGGCCTTGAGGGACTGTTTTACAGTTGAAGTATAGTTGTTTCTTGAGATTACATCATTATTTGAATAAATTTTATCAAGTACAGTAGCATGATCCCCTTGAGAAACATCCTTCCTCTGCAGAGCTATAACCTTGTGCTGAATTTATGATGATCTCCTTCCTAAGCAAGAAGGATCTGTGGCATTATTCTTCCATCACAACATCCGATGTGCATCAAGCGCTATGCTTTGTGGGCTAAACAGTTACACTAGTTCCCCAAAAAACATACCTGATTTTGTATCCCTGCCCCCACTGCCCAAAGAGTTTTACTCTAACATTTTACTTGTGTTTGAAAGAGGAAAACTATTAAAACCCCTTAGTATTATTACTAGACAAAACAATTACATAGTCTTATTACCTAACAACTCTCAATTCACCACTGAACCCAGGCGTCGGCTGATAATGCAGTATAACGAAGCAAAAGAATCATGACGCCTGTGATGTCCAACCACGTTCCCATTTCACAAATGAATAACAGAAGATGAACATACCTGGCATCTGGAAAGGACTTCCTGGGTCTGAGCTGGCAGGAGAATGCGGGTAGGTGCTGCTGCCGCTTCCCGGCGAGTTGGGATAGCTGCTGTTTGGCGAATGGGGGAACGGGTGACTATTGGGTTGCTGAAAAGAGTCTGGGAAAGTAGCATTGTGTGGCATGTGGGGCTCATTTTGTCCCAAGTTGCGGAATTGAGCCAAGAGGCTGTGCTGAGGGTTGTATTCGCTGTGTCTTGGCACCAGCACTGGAGGAAGCACTGAAAAGGGGGTGGGGGGAGAAAAGGGAACAAGCCACAGCATTAGAGAGTCAGTCCTTAAGAAAGAGGCTACACAGGGAAAAAACATTCCCTGTCCCTTAAGGCATATTCACATGTGCCATAAAAATGAGGTAGTCAAATCTAGGAACACATGTCTAAGCAAGCGCTGCTTCCTTATATCCAGTTACTGCATAGCTTGAATTCATAGCGATCGTGCTAGGTCCCTGGTTTGCCCGATAGGAGCTTGTTTTCAGAGAGGGCCAGGGAAGAAGAGCCAAGAATAAACTGCAATTCTGTATTTTAGTTTTCTTCTCACAAAGAAACGCAGTGAAGCACTGTTACAGTGCAATGCTGACACACAGGTTGTTTTACTGCGCTGTGATCCTGCTAATCATGTAATGGCCTGTAACCCAAAACCTTGCTAATAAGGACAGATTTTTTTTTTCTAAAGACAATACTAATACTATTTAGGCCTTGAACTGAGCCTGGTCCCAACAGCTGTAATTTTATTTTTAACCTAGGCTATGTTCTTACAAGTTTATATTGCGACTATTATTAACCCTTCAAGTCAGTTTACAAAACTGCAATTTAAACAAAATTAGGTAGCTAAAAAACAAAGACGACAACTGTGCAGCAAATGAGTTCCAACTATACGCTACTATGGGATCAGAGAAACATATATCAGAAACCGCTGGTTTCACCACACTCCCAAGGCCTCCTCAACAGCGGGAAACAAAGGTCTCTTTTTAACCGAGAATATGAACGTGATACCAGATACACTAAGATAAAAGAATCAGCTCTTTTTCCAGCGCCTCAGCTTCTGTCTTTGAATGCCTCACAGCAAAGGCTGAGCTACTCAAAAGATTAAAAGCTGGTCTTGTTATAGATTGAGATTTTTTGGGTGATGGGGAGTAAGAGGGGAGGGAAGGGCAGGGAGAAGGAGATCCATGCACAAAGAAGTGGGAGTGAAATAGAAAGTTATTCTCCTCCCCTTCTGCCCCCCCCCCCATTGCCCCTTCTTCCCAACTCCACGGCTGAGCAGAACCGGACAAAATCCCCTGAGCTGCCTTTGAGGGAGGGTGCAGACAAGCAAAAAGCAATGAAAGCAAGCTAGCCAGGCTAACTACCACTTCTCCCTTCCCGGGACTCCTGCACTGTCCCTCAAACCTGGCAGCTAACACAGGAGGGGGAACAGGACTGCGGACACCTGACAAGCCTCTGCAGACATCACTGTTTCACTTACACTAACAAAGGTGTCTCAGACACAGCTGCTTCACCAAAAGGCTAATTGCAAAAACCAACCAACCAACCAACCACCCCACCCACCCCCAAATCCCCCACCATCTTTTTGCCAAGAGAAACACCTTGTTGCAGTCCGTTGGGTCACTTTTACTCTGCTTTGCTCATAGAGAAGCAGTCCCATACTTGAGTGTCCAGGAGTCTAAGGGTCCCCGTATATTGTTCTACACATAGACCAGGCCTAAGGCCTAAGTCCAGTACAAAAAGATGCCACACACAAAATACTCTCTCCATTCTGAAAGCAAGCCACCCATTAGCTAAAAAAGTAGTTTTGCTTTTGGCATACGCATAAGAGAGAGAAACTATTTGAACTGATTTTTGCTTACCAGTGGTGTTAATATACAGAAAGTTTGATCTCACAAATCTTCCTGGAACATACACTGAAAAAACCAACCAAACAAAACACTATTGAAAGTAAAGCTGCCTGTTGGAGTTAGAATCAGGTTTTAAAGATTTAATCTGATTTCTCAGATTCTCAGAGCAGCTCTACCAAGTTTCCAATATATCTCAAATATTTGAAGTAGATGTCATTTCTAAGTAGATTTATTTAAGTACAGGACAGTTAACTATTTCCACTTCACAAGGAATATACAAAGCTCCTAGCTATGACATTTTTTGAAACAAAACACATCCATCTACCATGCTATGGAAGTTCATTCTCAATTGCAAAGCAACCTTGGAGAAGCTGCATCTCTCTCAGCTGTGCTGACTGTCTCTTGCCTCTAATATGACTATTGCCATAGGTCACTGGAAAAAGCAATACAAAATAGATATTCAGCCTGACATCACAAACCCCCTTATCTTGCAATACAGAAATGTCAAACCCAATCTCTCTCAATATTAGGATCCCTCAGAATTAAACTTGTTCTGTGAAACCTAACAGTTTTTTCAGAGTGCATTCAAACAATACATTAATTGTCATAGCAAACATTTGCCAGCATAATAAATTAAAGTGAAAAACCAGTGAGATCATGCATTAAAAAGTGTTTTCCCTTTCCTGTCTTTATGAGTCTTCCTCATTTTTCTGAGCTTTAAAACACAGCTTTCCTATCTCTTCATTTCCTGTGGATGAAGAGCAAACCATTAACTTTAGAAAAGTTAACTTCTGCAGAAAGTACATAATCTACCTTTCCCATCCCCTACTTCATGTTAAACAATAACATATAATGACATCACAGGAAGCCATACGATTTATAGCTTTTTAAAATAGCTGCAGAACAGGATATTTTCTGTATATTTTCAGTAATTAAAATAAAGCAGCGTCAGATTTTCCCAAAGGCACAGAAGCACATTATCTCCAGTTGGGCAGAACCAGTGCTGAAGTTTTGAAGGACTCCAGAAACATCTCATCTTCCACACTTACCCTCACACAAAACTAGCTTCGACCACAAAGAATTAAATGCCAGCTTCGTCAAAAGACACGTGGACTAGGAAGGAAGGAGGAGGAAGAAAAGAACCAATACTGATACAGCACAAATGGTATCAAAAACATCTTTGCAGTATTTACTTGAGCACTCTCCTACTTCAAGTCCTCTCTTGCATACAAACAACCTTAAACGCAGAGCAAAGGCAACCAAAGGTTGTCAGGTGGGAGAGAGACCGCAGCACCCCAATGAGTCCACCACTCAAAGCCATAACCAGATCTCTTTGCACCTCAAGGGCTTTTTTGCAGACTAGCTGCTCCCACGGGAGTCACAGAGGAGTTAATGTGAACGTTGTTCACTTGACAGCAAAGACGTGAGCAGGGACTGGACTGTTTGGAAACATGGAGAAATGCCAAAAGTTCAAAATGTAAAGGGGAACACATACTGTTCTTAGCCCCCTCTCCCTGCTTTAAGGCAGCAAGCTTCTGGTCAGATTGCAGACCCCAACCATATGGAGTAACAAATTACCAAGGCTCAGGACAGCAGGGGAGGAGGCTAATCTCTGTTGCAGCTGCTAGCTCCAGGAAGAGGTCTAATTGAAGGGGAGAAAGCATGAGAGAGTTGTTCTGTGCTAAGCCAGCACACCTGTTGCTATAAAATAATGAAGTAGTGCAAATCTTTGTTGTAGGGCACTCTGCAGGACGCTGCTGTAACGGTTTGCAGACACAATTTTGCCCTTTTTTACCTTCTCTTGTGGAAGAGAACAGAGATACGTTAAGCCCAAGTTCTACATTTATTAAAAAACAAAAAACAAAAAAAGTGTCTATTCAACAGAGATGTATCTATTTAAAGAAAAAGCATTAATTGTGCTGTTGTCCTGAAAAGCTACTGCAACAATCATATCAAACAACATCTCAAAAGATTTGTAAATGGAATCTGATTAAAATGGTTAAAACCAGTAGAAACACAAAGTCATGAGCCAGGTTTATTTCTTTACTTTCTCAAACAACAGATTAAAAGGTTTTATGGCCTTAAATGTGTCTAAACTCTGCTCTGAGATTTTGTGTAGATATAGACCTGGATTTGAGAGTTAATGCGTTACTACTAGTAGTAATACTACTAATAATGCCTGAAGAGGAAGATAAATCATCTGAAAGTCAAACTGCATATGTTTGTAGAACTGTAGCTAAAAACATATCCTGTATTTGGACTAAAACTGTCTGGGAAATGGGCAGGTTGTTTTTAACATACAAATCATACTGACAGTATGCCTATACCAAACAAGTGGAGCTGTATTAAAAGAATTACAGCTACAGGGCAATTTCACCCACAGGGCTATTTCATCTCAGAGCCAAGAATGCCAAAAACATGTAAGATAGACCAAAGACAGCCCAGCTGTTGGGATAAATGTTCCAACTAACCACACCAAGAAAATTTTTTTAATGAAAATGCAATGGTGGCCTTTGAAGAAAGCTACTGACCTCTATGCTTTGTCTCTCTACAGCATGACATCCTGTTCTCCTGTAAACAGGTGTGCTGTGTTAGTGTAAAGATTTACTTAGTTTTCTTTTTTGTTCCATTTTCAGTATGTTCCAGAGATAATGATTTTAGCAAACAGAAAGTTTCCAATTTACAATTATAACTTTTTTTTTTATTTATATATACTAAAAAACCCTAACTCAAGCCAAAGGACCTGCTATGTTTTCAAGGTAGTGTATTTTCTATCTAGATGGGTTTCAGTTATCTTACATGAGCCCAGATGACAGCTAGTTTCCCTCAAGGGTTCATTTTTCCCCCTTTGCAAGTTACATGAGGATTTTGGTAGGTATCTCTCTTTCCATGTCTGGAAATTCACAGACCAAATAATGGGGTCACATAAGAGAAAGCAGGCTTTGATCACTCTTCCTTTACAAAGTAAATTCTACTTTTTCTATGAGCTTTGAAGAAGAAAAGATGAGCAATTGTTGCTGCACTTTCAACCATACTGCTTTTAAAAATTATGATGATGACTTGCTGGACATATGTTATATAGAAGTGTTTGTGCAAGCTCCTACCACAACAGGGCCCTCAACCATAATGAAGGCCTTAGGACACTATCATTAGACAGTGCATTTTAATTTCCAAGCATCATATAGCCGTATTTTCATATTAATTTATGCAAAGCCACTTACATTTTACTGGAAAAATAGAACTGCGGGTTGGGAAGAAGGAGGGAAACCCTTACACACTAGGTGTGTGTTCGTGGTGCCTGGATATAGGTATGAAAAGATCGGGGTGGGGACAGTGCAGCAGAGGAACTTGAGACTTGTACTCAAATTTCTAGATAAAAAATCGTGC